TTTTTTCAGTATCATCGTAGTATCCTTTGCATACCTCAAACCAAAGCACTCCTCACCCTGTATAATTACTCTTTTATTTTCTTCCACTATATACTCAGTTCCTTTAGGGCAGGGACTATGGCTTTCTTTTATATTCTTTTAAAAATTTGTATTAAGCAATATTAAAGCAAAAACTTTAAAAAACCTAAGAAATAAAACATTACTGTTCCTGGTATGTTTCTTTCTCCCCTCCATTATGTTTATCATTCTCATGCATTTCTTCATCCTTTCACTACCTTGTCCCTAATCAATATAATGATTTTCCCCCTGTGTCCATGTGGAAAACAAAGTAACTCCACCCCACACGTTCATTTTTGCAAGTTCTACAGAGCCACGTATATCATGAATCCAAGAGTCTACTTGTGGGTGGGTTTATTTTGTCCAAGTATCCATCTCTGCACTAATCACTTTTCTCAATGACTAGTGTTTCATAAAATGTCTGATACCTGATGAGCCAGTCCCTCACTTTGATCTGCCTCAAAATTGCAGTGGTTTTAATCTCTGCATCTCCGGTTCCTGGCTCATAATGATGCTAAAATGTCTGTTGAATAAATGACAAATTCTGTTGTTTTTTTTCTTAGTGTGTCATTTTCAGAAAATTATAGGAGCTTTGCCATTTAATTTCTTTTTAGAGAATTTTATATTTCAAAATCAAGCCTCAGAATAAGAATTTACTGGAATCCAGGATCTTAAATGCTCCCTTGGCTACCGTGAGTGCCTTTGAATGGCATTCAAATAAATGCTAAACTTTAACATTGGAAAAAAAAAAGAATAAGTATTTACTGACCAGAACACCATTTAGTATTTTATAACATAGGAAGGAGTAAAACCTCTGGCTAAACTAAAGAATTTTTTGTTTTGTTTTGCAGTAAATTTTCTTCCTCCTCCTCTTTTTTTTTTTTTTGTTTGCTGGGCAGTACAGGTATCCAAACGCTTGACCTTGCTAGATTTACTAATTCACACTTGTTGAAATTTGGAAATTGAATGGTTTTGCTTTATATAAGAGGTTTCCTTTTCTTTGCTTTAGCTTTGAAATGTCCCTGTAAATGTTTTTCATTTGGACTATAACTTTTTTTTTTTTTGTGACCGGTAAGGGGAACGCAACTCTTGGCTTGGTGTCGCCCGCACTGCGATAAGAGGTTTCCTTTTCTTTGCTTTAGCTTTGAAATGTCCCTGTAAATGTTTTTCATTTGGACTATAACTTTTTTTTTTTTGTGACCGGTAAGGGGAACGCAACTCTTGGCTTGGTGTCGCCCGCACTGCGCTCAGCCAGTGAGCGCACCGGCCATCCCTATATAGGATCCGAACCCATGGCAGGTCCAGCGCCGCACTCTCCCGAGTGAGCCACGGGGTCGGCCCTGGACTATAACTTTAATTGGGTGGCCCCTAGTCAGCCTTTGAGCAATGCTTAGGTTTAGAATTGCTGGTAAACACTTTGCCAGGAAGTAGGGGAAGAAAGACAGTGTTATTATTTATATAACAAATCAGTGCAGGATTAACCCATTTTACTGCTTTTTCTTCTTGAATATTCCTTGTTGATTAGATAAATAGGACTTAAATGCCATTGTCTAGAGAGTCTTTGGAGGCCTTTTTTTTTTTTTTTTTTTTTTTTTTAACTTGAATTAACTTACATGTTTCTATTTGGTTTTATTTTTCTTTTGATAAGGAATGTTTAAAAGTGTAAGATTGGTCAGAGTTATCAAGGAGAATGAGTATGACAGTGATCCCGTTTTATTTTGTGGAAATAATATATTATTTNAATGCCATTGTCTAGAGAGTCTTTGGAGGCCTTTTTTTTTTTTTTTTTTTACTTTGTAACTTGAATTAACTTACATGTTTCTATTTGGTTTTATTTTTCTTTTGATAAGGAATGTTTAAAAGTGTAAGATTGGTCAGAGTTATCAAGGAGAATGAGTATGACAGTGATCCCGTTTTATTTTGTGGAAATAGTATATTATTTTAGTTTTGTAATTTGGTAATATAAAACTAAGGATAACCTTCTGGAAAGCCTCTCCATTGGGGTGTAGTAGCACTGATTCCCTCAGCTTTTAAAAAATTATTGTGATCTTAAAACTAGTTTTTAAAATTGAGATGAAATTCATATAACATTAACTATTTTAAAGTGAGCAATTCATTGGTGTTTAGCAACCACCACTTCTTATCTACTTTCAAAACACTTTCATCACCCCAAAATAAAACCCTGTACCATTAAGCAGTTGCTACCCATTTTTCCCTCCCCCCAGTCTCTGTGGATTTACCTATTCTGCATATTTCTTATAAATGGAATCATACAATATGTGACCTTTTGTGTCTGACTTCTTTCACTTAGCATAATGTTTTCAAGGTCTGCATTAGTTTTTGAGTTGCTATAACAGAATACCTGAAACTGGGTAATTTATGAAGAACAGAGGTTTATTGGGCTTACGATTCTGGAACAGCTGTGTCTTGTGCAGACCTCAGGCTGCTTCTACTCATGGTGGAAAATGGCAGGCCAGCCCAGTGGTACAAGCACATCATGTGGTGAGAGGAGAGAGATTTTAGGGTCCTATAAACAACCATCTCTCTCGGGAACTAATAAAGTGAGAACTAGTTCACTACCCCCACCCCCCAGGGAGAGCATCAATCCATTCATGAGGGATCTGCCCTCATGACTCAAACAGCTACCAAAACTGACACACTGGGGATCAGATTTCCACATGAGTTGTGGGGGAATGACACATCCAAACTCTATCAAGGTTCATACATTTTGTAGCATGTATGAGTAATTCATTCCTTTTTATGGCTGGTAATATTCCATTGTGTGAAGTATATGCCACATTTTGTTTATCCATTCATCCATCGATGTACATTTGGGTTGTTTTTACCTTTTGGCTGTTGTGAATAGTGCTGCTGTGAACATTTTTGTGCAGGTATCTGTTTTCAGATACTGTTTTTATTTTGGGTATATCCCTAGGAATGGAATTACTAGATCATATGGTAATTTTATGTTTAACTGTTTGAGGAACCACCAAACTTTTTTCCTCAATGGCTGGACCATTTTACATTCCTGCTAACAATGTTCAAGGGTTCCAGTTTCTCCATATCCTTGCCAGCTCTTATGTTCCATTTGTTTGAATTATAGCTATCCTAGTTGGTGTGAAATGGTATCTCCTTGTGGTTTTATTGCGCATTTTCCTCATGGCTAGTGATGTTGAGCATCTTTTCATGTGCTTGTTAGCCATTTGTATATCTTTGTAGAAATGTTTGTCTTTTTGTTGTTGAGTTGTAAGAGTTCCTTTAAGTATTATAGATACCAGACCTTTATAAGGTATATGATTTGCAGATATTTTTCTCCCATTCTGTAGGTTGTCTTTTCAAACTCTTGATAATATTGTTTGATGCACAGAATTTTTTTTAATTCTGATGAAGTCCAGTTTATTTTTTCCTTTGTTGCTCATGCTTTTGGTATCATATATAAGAATTTGACATGTCTTGCCAAATCCAAGACCATGAAGATTCATCCCTATGTTTTCTTCTAAGTGTTTTATAGTTTTAGCTCTTAAATTTAAGTTGGTACATCTTGAGTTAATTTTTGCATGTGGTCTGAGGTTGGAGTCCAATAAGGACTGTTTTTGAATAATAAAATTTCATGGAGCCTCCCCATTGTACCTTTAGTATCCTTTAATTGAATGTATATACATACCAACCAAAAACTACTGTGGATTTCATTGTATTCTAAATTATTTTGCATTAAAGCAGAAATTTTACATGTATATTTTAAAATAGTACTTGTAAGTGTTAGACATTTTTCAGTTTGTGGGTTATATATATCGGTAACTGGATATGGATTTATGGATTCCTTTCCTGTAACTTCGTGGTCTCTTCTGAGTCTGCAGATCATAGGTTTTGTAGATGAGCGTCAGGAGAATCTATCATGACAGGGAGGAAAAAAGGAGCTAAAGATGAAGTTAGAATTTCCAAGGGCCCATAGTTGCAGAGACTTAAAGGGAAAGAGGGGAGATGACTGGGAGGTCAGTAACCAGAAGACAGTAGTAGAGTCTGTAAGGGCCAATGAGGAAGTAGCACTTTCTTTCAGGCAACAAGGATGGCTGCAGAGTAGAAGTGAAGTGCTCAGAAGGAATATGGTTTGGAAAAGGGATGGAAGCTTACAAGTCATCATCAGTAAATGACAGTTTAGGGAGTAGTTGAGGATTCTTTTAGTTCTGGAAAAATGCCAAACCAATCTACCTCCAAATAAGGAGTCAGTTGACCTTGTTTAGCATCCGTCCCAGAGAGGAGTATGAAAAAGGAACTAAGGAAATTCAGAATGCTGATTAAATTTGAATTAGTAAAACTACATTCTGTGTAAGTGTGTTGTGTGTGTTTTTGTTTGGTTTTCTTTCCATTTCTTAATAAAATTTCCTAATAAAAAATTTTTAGTTTTATCTCAATTGAAAGTGTAACAAAAGGAATTTTTCTACTTCTCGTGTGGAAAGGAGAGTTAGGTTCCAAGTGTACACTTAGAGGTTAGGGTGGTATGTTGCATTGGCCTATGACCATCTGATGGATCAGGAACTGGGGACATACAGAAATGAGAAACTTGGAGGTAATGTGTTGGACTGTTGTTGCAACTATGGTCAAGGGCCTCTTCTGACCAGCTTTTTTAACATTTACAGGCTCATCAGTGACAATCTTTTTTTTTTTTTTAAAGTCTGTTTCACCTGTCAGGTCTATGTTCTCAAAGGGCTTTAAAGAAAATAAGGATGAACTAGGTAGGACAAATAACTGAGAGTCTGAGGGGAGGGTAGAGGTAATGGCCACTGGTTCAGATGCCCTTTTGCTTTTACTAGGCAGATTGTCTACTTTTTCAAACAGAAATGAAAACTACATTATAAGAAATGATTTGGAGAGGTATAAACAAATAATAGGTCTTAGTTATTTTCAGCTTTGTGGTGTTAAAACTCTGAATTTGTATGAATGTGTCTTTTTGAAATTTTAACCCCCCATGTGACCTCTATGATTTCAGGTGCTACTTGTGAGCAGTAGTCGCCATCCAGACCGATGGATTGTCCCCGGAGGAGGCATGGAGCCTGAGGAGGAGCCAAGCGTGGCAGCAGTCCGTGAAGTCTGTGAGGAGGTATGCACTAAGAAGGGCACAGATGTACCTTGTAATCAGGAAACTGTCCTGTCTGTGTTGTTTAGTTTATCACTACTCACTGAATAAACATACTCATGATCACAGAAAGATGGCACTTATCGTGCCTTCTTTATTAAAGGGATGATTGAGTTATCACATGGTAATGTTTATCAGGCATTCTGTGTGGGAAGAGGGCTTGTAGTAGTAACTATATCTAATTATATCAGGCAGTCCTTTGTAACTTCCCATGGATCTCTTCCAACATTGCTTCTGTTACCTGTGGCAGAAGATGGAGAATCAAATAGTTCATCAGCCCTAAGAAATAAGAGGAACAGGCTGCATTAGTATAAATGACTCATTAACCTTTGGATGAGGAGGCAGCCCTATTCTTCTGTGCTTCCTGGGTCCTAGCCATGGAATGGTGGTTAAAGCCATGATGCTGTTAGCCAAAAGCTGTTAGTGGTGTAACTTGAGATAATAGTATCCTCTTCTTTATTTAGTCACATGATGTTCAGCATGCACATATTGAATTCCTGGGCCATGCCTGTATACCTTACCAGATACTCCAGAATAAACAGTCAAAAGTAGTAAAGTCATGAACCTTTACTTCCCTTATTTCAAGAGCCCACAGTTAGGGGAGAAACAGAAACGGATTGCAATTCAAAACCAGGAGGAAGGAACTAATGTTTCCTCATACCCTCTTGTGACAACACCATACTCTCCTCTGCTTATGTTATCTCATTTAGGACTTATAACTTGGTGGTGTAAGTTTTATCACCCCCATTTACTTGTCCTGGCCATGTAGGTAGTACTTTTAAAGTCCATTTTTTTGTTCTAGAGGAGATTTAAGACAGATTCTAAGGACATATAAAACAGCACTTAGAACAAGTCTAAATTCTACATTTCTTTTGGGTCCACCTCTTGCTGAAGCTCTCTTAGACTAATGTTACCCTTGGAATACCTGAGGAATTCTGTTCCTTGTTCTGAACTCCTTTAGACTTACACTGGCTATAAACCTGGGGGGGGCGGGGGGAAGAAGACATAACAACTACAATTCCTTGAAGTTGATACGACAAGCAAACAGAAAGGACATTGTTGGGTGGGAGGGAGGAGAGGGAGGAGGGAGGGAGGGAGGTTTCGGTAATGGGCCACAGTAATCAACCACATTGTATATCGGCAAAATAAAATAAAAATAAAAATAAAAAAAAAGACTTACACTGGCTATACATTGGC